AGAGTATTACTGGTGCCGTAGTACTACCTGTTCGAAAAGAAAAAAAAAGTGATGCAGTACCACCTCGTACCCCCTACTTTATTTTGCATCGAGCACGCGCCATCATGCCGTAATAATCGTATGGAACCTTGTTTTTCTTTTTCCTAACTAATGGCAAAATGGCATGGCAAGTCTCAAACTTATTTTTTCTGACTTTTTTTTTGCGAAAGGGCCCAATGCCATATATTAAGTGCCGTAGGTCCTTACAAGCACACCCATACAGATAAATGAAAATACGATCGAATCCATGGGAGACGCGCCATGAGGAAAGCTTGATGCCATCTACGGAGCAAACTTTTTTAAACCTAGCAGCTTGTAGAAGCAGCGGTCGGGATATCATCGATGCAGACCAGGAGACGCCGGCGGCCGAGATTTGCCACCCCGGAGAAGAAAAAAGGTCATGCGGAAACTCCGAGGACCAGGAATGCCAGCCGAATCCATACGGATCCACCGAACACCTAAACCGACCGGATCTTAGAAGACCTGCCGGAGACACGGTTCCGCACGCCCTTCGAGGTTGATGAACACACCAGCGGAACACGAAAAGAGCAAGGAGAGCATTATTCCTAGACGGGGACATGGTCGCCACCTAGCTGCCCCAAACAAAACTCAAAGACTCCATAAAGTGCTCCTGAAGAAAAAAAAATCCATGCCGCTGCACGACATGTCCTGGTCTGACGTCAATCGAGCTCGACGCCATCCAGGATCATGCACTGACTACCTCTTCTCCGGTGATCACCGCGGTAACAATTACTACAGGAAGTAGCAAGAAATTAGTTAAAAAATACTTCATGTTTTCAAAAAAATGTTCCAATTCTCTCGGTAACAATTAAGGATATGTTCTTTTCAGAGGAACAATTGCGGACATGTATATTATGTGTTTGTGCAGTGTGCACCAAATAAGAACTGCCTTGTACAAATTGGACGGACTGCGCTAGAGGTTACATTATGCTAGCTACCATGCACTTTTTGAGTACGGACCTGTGATGTGGCCAGTATCCTAATTTTCTCAATTAAAATTATTCCATTGCTTTAAATTTTCATAAAATCGACAGGGGTACTGTCTATTCGTTAATGAAAGATATGTTACAATTAATTTTTACAGAATGGGCATGTTTGGAATGGGGACCTTCATAGGGAAAATTCCGACGGATTAAAATCCTACAAATTCTTAGAAAAACCCTTCAATCCAAAGGTGCTCTATATTTACATCCAATTGTTTAATGAGATGGTCTACTTAGAAATAAGTGCCCTCCAAACGATTCAACAATGTCAAATTCGTTTGGTCATGTCACACTACAATGTAATGAACTCTTACATTACATTAATTGGGTCAGAGATATTTCATGATTTTCTTTTTTCAAAAGCTTGTCTATAATCCATTTCTCTTGCTGTTCAACAGCATGTACAAGACACTAGAGCGGTACCGCAGCTGCAACTTCAACTCCGAGGCAACTGCAGCTCCGGAGACTGAACTAGTAACCTTTTCAACACTGTTGCTTCATATACATTTCATGTGCAAAACCAAACAGTATGTACTAGACACTAGAGCGGTGTTTCTAGAAGTATATACATGGCATGCCACGTGCATTTTGTGAATTGTTGGTCTTGGATAGGATTTACGTTTAGGATCAGATGATGGTAATTTAGTGACTGGAATTAATGTGTTTAATGTAATTTCATGGGTCATGGCAAATCAAGTATCAATAAAGAAAGCAAAATAATAATTCAAATTGGATGTTTGGATGTAAACTGTTAATTAAATGCAGTGGTATATGGTGAAAATAAGAGCTCCGTCTACTGCTTCTGTGTAGCAGCAAGTATTTAACGGAATTAAATAAAACTTTCTGAACATTTGCACATGTACAGAGCTCTCACATGATGGATCTAATATCCCTTTCTGAAAGTAAAACTACTTAACGCTGGAGAGGACTTATCCCCTAACTTCAGTGTGATGTAAAAACTACTATATATGCTAATTTATGTATGCTTTCTCATTCATATTATCAACTTTGAACTAATTAATTAGCAGTATCTTATAGTATGCCATGCCCTTCTATTTTCATTGTTACATAGCTATTATCTTCTAGAAAGTTTTTGCAGTACCTTGTAAACAACCGTACATATCTATGGTTTATGCATAATGTAGTTCTGTATTTAGTCATGATTTCACTCGATTATTTGACCAGTGTGTTGTTAATTTCTCTTATCCAAACTAGAACAATTACCAGGAGTACTTGAAGCTGAAGACAAGAGTTGAGTTCCTACAGACAACTCAGAGGTATGCTAGCCAACTATACGAAATGTTAGATATATCAATCATGTCGATCATTAATTACTTACCAGGTGATCGATTGCTCTTTAATATTGTCATGCATTTTATAGTTGAGTTAGTGTCTAAGCGAGCATGGATGACATGGACTTAGCATGCGTGTTCTTAGAGGGAGATGGAGGTAAACACACATTAGTAGACGCAGACATGTGTGTGTTGTGTGGCTGCGTGCATTTTAGTTGCTGCATTAGAAGATTCATTGGTAGATTTAGTGTGATCGCATGGCCTGCATGCAAGAAGAGATCATAAATAGGAGAAGCACATGCATATACTCCAGATGGTTCCCGGTCGTCTTGATCATGGAGAGAGTTTAGGAAGTGATGAGAGCATGGAGTGATTAATGGAGTACGCGTGTATGTGTGTACTAGAGAGTTGAGAGAAGATAGAGAAATTACAGAGAGGAGAGGAGCTGTTAGTGCCTAAATTAAATTATTGATCTTTTACAGAAATCTTCTTGGCGAGGACTTGGGCCCACTTAACATGAAGGAACTTGAGCAGCTTGAGAACCAAATTGAGATATCTCTCAAACATATTAGGGCGACAAAGGTACATCATCGTAGTCAAGTAAATTCATTGGTGATCATATTTCCACATATATATGTACTTCTCAAGTCGTAGGTTCAGATGCATTCTGTAATAATATAAATGTTTGAGATCAGATGTATTTAACATGTAGAATGTCATGCTGACTAGCTATTTCTGTGTATGACCTATACAGAGCCAACAGTCACTTGATCAGCTTTTTGAGCTCAAGCGCAAGGTAACACATGTGTCGTCTTGTTAAGCCCTGGTCTTGTGTTCGATATATTTCTTTCAGTGTAGATGCCCCAGAATTACTAATTACTAATTTGTGCAGGAACAACAACTTCAAGATGTTAATAAAGACTTACGGAAGAAGGTATAATACTTCCCTCACGGTTTTTAATAATTTTATTTTATTCCCAGCATTGGCTTAGCCTGAATGTGCCATATATACACAAACTATTTTGGTTAATCCTCATTTAGACATGCTCAGGAGTTCCATACACAGTACAGGGAAGCCTCAGTGATAAAATAAAAACATACTATACGAAGGGAAAATTAGCACTAGCTGACTTCATATTGTTTCGGTTATTTCATTAAATTGTCAATCATCTAGTTTCTTTCTCCTAACTAAAGAAAGGTCGCACAACTGAAAATATGAGACATGGCACGGTTATAACGGCCTGCTCTTTCAACGGTTTTTTGAATATGCATTTTTTTGCTTGTTCGATGGAAATGCACGATGGACCATAGAATTCTTGGCAAAAGAAGTATTTATATTGTTGTTAAAATTCCATGGCTGTCGTTTCGAAAAAAAAAATCCATGGCTGTGGTTTCTATTGGGAATGGTAAATTAATGGCTGAGTTCGTCACATATATTCCAAAGAAGTGTGAGCTATGCATGCTTCAATTTTTATCTCTTTGTTGTACCAGATACAAGAAACTAGTGCGGAAAATGTGCTGCAAATGTCTTGCCAGGATGTTGGACCTAGTGGGTCTAGTGGCCATGCTAATCAAGCTAATCAACAGCAGCATTTTCATCCTGCTTGTGACCCTTCCATGCGTATAGGGTAATTTTTTTTCTTCAACTATTAATAAGAGACTCCAAGTATGATGCCTTATTAACATTAACTATGTTCTTTAAATATAAATAATCTCAGCAAAAAGGAAAACTCATATCAACAGCTCATACTTTAGTAAATTATATGAATTGATTTTTAAACATTCTTTTTGAAAGGAATACAGTACTATATTTGAACAAGATTGCCAACATGTAAAAAAAGGAATAAAATCCAAATTTGCATTACCAACAGAAACTAAAGTATCTCAGTAGAACAGCTTGTGCAGAATCAATAAAAAGGTTTCCTTTTTAAACATGTCTTTGTCTATTTTTTTTCATAATGACCTATTACGATCGTGTGCAGGTATCAACGAAATTTCCTGGATCAATTGAACAACGAATGAATGGTTGTATTACTTGAGCCGGTGTTCAGATGTCCTATGTCGGGTCGATGTGATATAAATTTAATGCAATGCTTTCTTTTATCCATGGGTTCTAACTTAAAACAACCTATTATGTACTATTCAATCATATTGTGTGCTATTTTAAACTTGAGAGGAGAATTATCTGAATGTTGGATGCTGAATTGACCACACAATCTCTCAGTTTGAACTGAGGGTACTGAAAAGTGCACCGTGTCAGTGCATAGCTACAAACAATAAGTCACCACTGCACTGACATGTTATCCATAAATGTTCATAAAAGTATAGCAATTCATCTCCATTTCCATAACGAAAATAAAGTAAAAATTAGGTAACTATACCATAATTATGAAATGAGAAACATGTTTCGAACATTAATTCAATATATAATAAACACTTCATTTTCAAGCCATATACACATGGTCTTATTTACCATTTTTATCATGTCAATATGGATTCCATAATACATTTGAAGGTCGTCATATAATCTATGGAAACATCCCGAAGGTCGTCATATATATAATCTATGAAAACAAAGGTTCATATTATCTATAAATAGCATGCCCCATAGTAACATCCAAAAGGTCGTCATATCACCTATAAATAGCATGCATATATAATAGTGTCAAGTCTGTGTACGTGTGACCAGCTCAACTAGATCCATCTCCTCCTTCACCTGGACAGTCTTGATTTCTGTTGGACCTACCGCTGTCACCAATAGCGATGATCCAGATTCAATGTTTGTGAGTGCGTCATCACACCACGCCATCTCCATATCTATCTCATGGTCAATCTTAATAGTGTAGTCCATATGGTTGAAGATATAGTCCATGTCAACATCATCATCTATGCTGTAAACCGGGTATTGCGCATCCTCCTTTGTGTCAAATAAACCATCACACATGTCAACAGAAAAATCATCACATGTAGGGACTAGAACTTCTTCACAAGAGTCAGCCTCTCTGTCATCTGTGCTGAATAGTCCCTGGGTGATCATTGTGTTGGATGGGTTGGATTCTGACCAACTGTCATTCACCTGTGCCAGATTTTGTGTTGGGGGTGCTGGTGAAGATGGTGACAGTGGAGGTTCTTTTGGGGCTAGAGGAGCAGCAGTGACCTTGCTAGAGCCAATTCCAAGGCTTTTGATGTAGTTCTGCAGAAGGGTCCCAGATTTGATATTCTTGGCGCTTGTGCGGGTCCGCCTCCGTGCAAACTGCCTTCTCTTGGTTGCATTCCAATGATTTTTTATGGAGTTTTCAGTTCTCCCAGGGAGGCGCTTAGCTATCTCTGCCCATTTGTTGCCAACCTCCTTGTGTGTTTGTATTAGAACCATGTCTTCCTCCTCACTCCATGTATCTTTCTGCATTTGTGGTTTCATCCACGCACAAAAGGTTTATTTCAAGCATGAATACTACACAGATAATATGAGAAGTTTTCAGGAAAAAGAACTTGACAAAAATATTTCAGATTTGGAAGCATCCATGCCCATTTTTGTGTTTCACCATGATAATTTTACCCATTATTGTCATTTATCATTAAACATTTTGTAATTTTTAAAAATTTGATAGGGGCAAAGGTTATTTGAACTTCTATAGCTCTGGTCGACAACATGATTTTCCATGATGCATTGTTTCTATCCGCAAAAAAAAATGATGCATTGTTTCTAGTTTTTCCTAAATCATATTTCCCCTCAGTTTATGTTTCCTTGTCCCATGTGGGCATGTCAGGTTAGAATTTTCTTCTCTGTGCCGGTTCGAGTTTCTATCATCATGGTTAAGAACCATTCAGTACTAAGTACTATCCCCATTCCCCACCCATCAACCTGATAAAAGCTAACCAAAAAAGATATCGCTTATATTACTCACAAAATTTAGTGCACCCTTAATAAAGGGCAGGCCCAATGACATTCAAATATCCCTCAGTGTGTCCAAACTAGTTTTTTAATCTTAATTAGATTGCAAATCTAGTGCTAAATACTATCCCCACCCATGAATCTGATATAAGCAAACCAAAAATGACATCGTGTATGTAATTTCCAAAATTTAGTGCACCCATAATGAATTGCAGACTGACCCAACGACATTCAAATCTCACTCAATGCGTTCAAATTAGTTTTTTTTGGAGCTTAATTAGTTTACTATTTCATTAAACACGGTCAAAGCAAAAGACATAACTGTAGGCATTCCATTTATTACAGAATACAAAGGAGATCAAAATAGATTTGACTCCTCGGTTCAGTTCAAACGGAAGTTGGAGAGACAAACCTTGATGTTAGGTCTCAAATGGTTGTGCCATCTTTCTCTGCATTGCTTTCCAACTCTTCCAGGCAACATTTGCGCTATCTGAGACCACTTCCTCAATCCAAACTGCTCCACTAACTTCACCAACTTCCTGTAAAAGATGCAAGGACGAGCTTAACATCGCAGATAGCAAGCAATAACACAGACATACAGCGCCGCAAACAGAGAAAATACTGAACCAAGCATGAAACAATATATCTAATTCTTACCTGTCTTCTTCCAGTGTCCATTGCCCTTTGACAACATTAGCCCTCTTGAGAGCCTTACTGGAGGCCTTCTTTCTTGGGAAAAACCTGCGGCTCATCTCATAGGTCTTGTATGATCCAAGGCCGCCTCCCATGAGTTGTGAAACCTCAAGTTTTGGTGTCAGCAGAGGCAGGTGAGGTCCAGAACTATGAACGATTGATGATGAAGAGTCCCCACTGATGACAGCTTTCGTCGTCACGCCTTGTGGGTACTGGTAGTAGTCAGGATAGAAGGCCGCAAAGGGGCCGATCGATCCACCGACAGGTTCGAACGAACGATCAAGGGAGTGGAGATCATAGTGGGCACTCTGCTGCACATGGAAATCAAGCGGCATGTCATCGCAGCTCCCTGCGTGGGGCTGGAAGCAACCGAAATCCATGGAGGGGTTTCAGGAGCTGGCTACTGCTAGGGGTGGGGGTGAGGGGGAAGAGGGACCGGACGGATGCTGGTTCCTGTCTACCTGCATCTCTCGGAAGAGGAGACATTGGCATGGCGTGTCACATTATATCTTGACAAGACCGGCCTTATGGCCCTTAATGGCCACAAACTAAGGGGTTTTTATAGGTTTATTAACTTGCGTTGTTAATGGGGCATTTACTTTCATAAATCGATTACTTCATGCAAGAGAAAGAAAACTATAGTTAATTAAGCAGCATGCATTATTCAGAAAACGTGGCACACACACCACCCGTACCCATTGCAAGATGCTGGTCAAGCCGAGAAGTCATTAACATCCGCAGTAGTGCATGGCATGCGATGCTATATGCCTGTACCATCAGTCGTTTCGTTTTCCTTGTGATGTAAAAGTAAAGCACATCTGCTTGGCTGAAAAATAAATTGCGCAGAAATTGAGCTGTAAATTCATCCTGAACTGAATCTGTGATCCTTCCAAACAGTTTTCTCAGAGAGTGCAGAACCCATGTCCAAGTTCGATCGAAATAGATGTCCATGTTATAGCACCGATATTTAGCAAATGGCAAGGTTTTGTTCTGGCTGTGGCTGTGGCATGCAATGCAAGTCTTAGTACTTATCTTTAGGGAAACCTTCCCAGACGGCGCGCCGGCCGAAGCGTTCCGCCGGTCGCACCGCTCGCTTTATCTACATGTAGGCCCACCACCGAACGACCATCTACCTTATCTCTTCAGGAACAACACCATCCACTCATTCTTTTGCTCGTGCATCTCCTCTACCGCAACCTCCTCCGCTCGCCTCTTTTCTTCCTCTCTTGTAGATGCTTGCGCCTCCCCCACCGGCGACCGGCTGTGCCGCCAGCCATGGCCACCGCGCCTCCCCCACCGTGGCTGCCCCCACCCCGCCCCCTCACGCCCCACCAGCGACCAGCGCTGCAAACCAACCCCCACCGGTGCTGCCGATGGCGGCGAGAAGTAACGGAGAGCCGCGGCGGCCGACGTTGAGGCGTTGCAACCACGGCGACAAGTGATGGAGATCCATCATTTTCTTTTCTTGGAAGCAGCCCCAATTTTTGCTGCAGACGCCCTTGATTTTTGCTGGAACCAGTGTAAGATTTTGCTACAACCATGTTCTTTTTCTATGGAACCAACTCGAAGTTTTGCTGCCATGTCATTTTCTTTTTGGTACAACCGGTTTTCAATTTTGCTACCACCATCTTCAGTTCTTGCTGGAACCAATTAATTATTTTGCTACCACCATGTTCGTTTCTTTTTTATGGAACCAACCCAAATTTTTGCAACCATGTCATTTGTTTTTGATACAACCAATGTACATTTTTGCTACAACCAACCTCGGTTTTTGTTGGAACCAATCAATTATTTTGCTACCATGTTTTTTGGGGGGAACCAGTGCATCAATTTCTTTGCTACCACCGTTTGAGTTTTTGCTACAACCAATGTTCTCAATTGCTACATCCAACACGCATCACAGTGTCATGTAATTTGTTGGAACCAGCAAACATTCTTGCTTGAAGCGGCATGATTTTTTGTTGGAACCAGTGTTTCTTTTTGCTGGAACTAGCTAATTTTTTTGCTACAATCTGCTACTGGAGTTTTTGTGCTGTTGAGAGTTTTGCTGGAACCATCATTATTTTTTGCTGGAACCGGCAAATTTTTTTGCTTCAACCCAGCATTGGAGATTTTTATTGCTTTTTTTGCTAGACATGACGCTGCAAGTTGACAATGGCGGCGAGCCGGAGACGGGGACGCCAGGGATGCTCCAACCATGATGACAGCGCGCTGGAATCCTCCTGTGTTTGAGTTGCAACCATGACGAGCAGAGGCAGCCAAGGCAAGTGTCGGACACGACCGTCAGGCAAGCGGCAGGCGAGCGCGGGTGACGGGCGTGGTGGCGCGGTGGAAAGCAAGCACGGGAAGACGAGGACTATCGCGAGCGGCCGGCGAGCACACAGATCTGGCATGCGCGCTCGCTGTCCTTTTTTTTGTGTTTCCTGTGCGTGTTTTTTTTTCTGCGTGTTTGACTTTTAAAACAAAGCAATCAGACGGTGGGGAACGGATGTATCGGGCGGCTGGGGCTTGACCGGACGAACAGTTCGGCCGGTGCGCCGGCGCCTATAAGCGCCCTTATCTTTAAGCAACCAATTTGGAGTTTTGGACACTTCAGAAATGGTATCGATTAATCAGTCTTATATAATTAAACTGCAGCATCGATCGAAGATGAAGGAAGCTGCGAGCTCAAATTATCACGCGCGGAAACAAAATCGAACCCCTTTTTGTGGAGGGGAAGAAACCTAGCTAATTTGCAAGGAAAAAAAATGCTGCTTGCTCAAGCGCAAAGGCGAATACTGGGGCGAGGACGAGCAAGCGGCACATACCTACTACGTGCACCGTCGCCCACGGGAAGAGCCCGTCTCGCTGGCGGCGCGGACGGAGAGAGCGGGAAGCAACCGGCGGCGATGCCGACGGCGACGGCGGTCTCGAGTCCACCGGCCGCCGCACGGCACGAGCAGAAAAGGAAGGAGAGAGAGACCATCCGCCTCTCCGAGTTCCTACCCGCTCGTACTGGGCTCATTTTAGGTTGGGCTTGGTGGGCTCTTGGGCTGGTGTTGGGCCTTACAGGCGGGCCAGGCTAGAGGCCTGGTATTGCGGTCCGGCCTGCGACGGCCAGCCCTGATGGAAAAGGCCGCCCTCTGGCCGTCGGAGGCGCCACTGGCTCGCCGGCAGGAAAAGAGGCAACATCTCCAACTCCGTGACGGCGACGGCGAGGGTAGGAGGAGGAGATGAAGCTGAAGCAGCTGGAGGGCCTGCTGGGGGGCCTGACCCAGTTCTCCGACCCCAAGGTACCCTCCGCCGCCCCCGCCGTTCGATTCGCCTCCAGAACAAGCATGAACTTATCTGAGCTTGCCGCCGCCGTCGTCGGCGGCGGCCGTGGGTGCAGGTGGAGCTGGAGCAGTACGCGACGGGCCCCCACATCGCGTCGAGGATGCTCTACACGGTAGCGCCCCCGCCCCGATTGATTCCGATATATGCCTTTGTTTGCTTTATGCATGGATGCGATCCTGGTACTTGCTGTGATGCGATTGTGTCTGCAATTGGACGCCCGCGAGTGCGCGCGGCCGCGGCTCCATGCCCAAAACCGGCAAGCTACTCCGGCAGTGGGCTAGTAGGCTTGTGGCGACTTCCATGCTTTGCGATACAAGATTCTGCACATGTTGTTGCTCGCACTTTAATTCTTTTGCAGTACAAAGTTGGGAGTGTTTGATTTTTCAGCTGCTTGCAAGTTGTGCCTCAACCTTTAGATTTGTCTTGCCTGGCTACTTTTATCTGAAACAGTGCATGTTGAACCATAAGGTAGACAGATAGCTAATTAGGCCTGTTGGGCGTGCTTGGATGCTGAAATTCTAGTGATTCTGGTTGTGTGCCTCTGTTGTATCTTTCTCATGGTGAGTTGGTGAATCCGTCAGGCCGAGAACAGCTTCGACGACATAGCTGGTAAAGTGGTGGCGGATTTTGGGTGCGGCTGTGGTACCCTGGCCGTCGCGAGTGCTCTGCTGGATGCTGAGTGAGTTCGTTCAAGCTCTTAGTATTTTGGTGATCGTTTTCTTCAGTTCTTGTTCAGAGTCGTTTCTTCTGAGGTGGTATCAGCAGAGATCTCCGCTCCTTAACAGTACAATAGCGTTGTCATTTTTATAATTCCGGTGCCATAATTCGCACACCTGCTTTAAACAGTAGCTAAATGGGGAACTGAAGAGTGGTTACCTCTGCCGTGATTTGTTGATTGATTGTGCAGAATAAGGTGTACTCTAAAGGTTTAACTAGTACCATGTTTTGGGGCACACCAAGGGTTTAACTAGTAGGCAGTACATTGCTTCATGATGTTTATGTGCTGATTTACCAGTATTTGATCTTACTAGACAGTATACTACCATACCGGCTCACTGATCCACCTCCCTTAGTGCCCTGTCTATAACTTAATCACTCGTACTGAAGAGCTAAGAAGATAAAACTGTTTCTATTATTATTATACTTTAATTGATCACATATTTTTTTGTTTGAAATTTCTAGATGCTGGTCAAAATTATGTTGCGTAACAATCATTATGTGGCACTATCATTCCCATGGCATGTAACAAACTCATATACTGCACAATATTTGAAATAGTTGTCCATTATTGTCATGAACTTATAAACCGACGTGTTTGTGTACCAGTTGGGTATCTTACGATTTTTGTTGTTATTCTGTTGTTAGATATCCCTAATCTTATTCACTACGATTGTGGAATGACAGGCATGTCACTGGTATTGATATTGACCTCCAGTCCCTTGAACTTGCTCAAGAAAATGCTACTGATCTAGAGGTATGCTGTTGCTTTCATTTCCAATTGCAACAATTGCTTTTATTTGAAGCAAATAAACCTTCATATTGACTCTTTTCCCTCTATAATGAGTCAAACATCACACAGAATTTTCCGTGGGTCTTCTTGGTCTATTATCTCAAGCGCTTACTATAGTTGATCAAAGGATAACAACTTGCAAGTGCAGTTAGCTGAAAGCTGTTTTGGTCCCCATTTTCTGTTGCCTTTAGCGTTACATTATATGCTTCTTAAGAAATTCGTAGGGACAAGGTTGTGGGACTTAGCTTGTACCATATACAGTTCTAGAGGATTCTTTTTAGTGAGGAGAATGTAATTCTGGAGTTGATCCTAAATGTAGTATCTATATGAGATAAGTGCATTACCCCTCAAAACCCTGAACTCCAATACAGGTCAGAAACACACCCCTCAACACAGAAAACAATTCACCTAAGTTATCTTGAATTCAGTACTCCATGACTATGCTAAGCGCCTAAGCTATCCTGTCACATCCTTATGTTTGCTGGTTAAGTACATGTTGGTGACAGAGGTAGAGCTGAAAGTAGTATGTGAGAGGATTGACGCAGTAACTTGATA